TGTGGTGGTTCAATCCTCGGTCTGGCACGTCAGCGCGTCCCGGGTTCAAGCCGGCCCTGGACGGAAAAAATGTCCCGGTTGTTTCAGACACGAGCTGGGAAAAATATCGCGTTCTCGCTTATCCCGTGCTTTTCGCACGTGTATTTGTTTCCTGTGTTGGCCGATAGATGGCGCCGCGGACCGTAATTTCTGTGTGTGCGTATAACGGGGCTTCTCCCTGTAAGGTACTGCTACTTCCCCCGTCCCCCTCCTTCTCCCCGAGCTACGGGGAAGGTTCGGATCTTTGTGACGGCTCTCGTGTGAGCAAAATAAAAGAAAGTACCTCGCCTTGCAATCGAGAGAGGAGTGGCTGCCGGTAGGTGGCGGTGCGGGGGCGGGCGAGGCAGCGGACGCAGAGAGAGAGGAAGTTAGCACCTTCTCGATATGTAAATATGCCGAATGAAAATGAAATCTGCTTCTGTCCGCATGCGCGAGAGAGCTAATATTATTACGAAATGATCAGTCCAATGTTATATGATTTATTTTGTATTGAGGTAAAAAAAAGTGTATAATTATTGATAATTATTTTTGCAATCGAACGTTAGTGGAGAAGAGGAGAGAGAAGGTTGAGCTCTGTTCCCGTAGTTTGAAGGACGTGCGTGCGTGCGTGCGTGCGTGCGTGCGTGCGTGCGTGTGTGTGTGTGTGTGCGTGAGCATGTATGTGCGTGTGTGTGTGCGTGTGTGTGTGTGTGTGTGTGTGTGTGTGTGTGTGCGTGCGTACGTACGTGTGAGTGTGAGTGTCTCTGTGTGTGTGTGTGTGTGTGTGTGTGTGTGTGTGTGTGTGTGTGTGTGTGTGTGTGTGTGTGTGTGTGTGTGTGCACTTGTGTCTATAGCGACTCGCGTACCACTCACGACCTTTGTTATGTAAGCATAAAGACAATATTTTAAGTTAAAACTGATTTAACACGAGGTGAGATATATTACAGCTTTAATGCGATAGCAATATAATAAACATAATTAATGGTATCACACATGAAACATAGACGTAAGTTTACTATCGGGTATTACAAGAAATATCAGGAGTTCCTATAGTTGATATAATATCGACATAAAAGAAACGCCACATTTGTACAAGGTAGGGTGTAAACACTTGACAACAAACAATTCCGTGTCAACAAACACAACAAGCAACGCACGCCTTTATTTGTTGTCGTGTTTTTAGTGTGAATTGAACTCTGCATGAACGTAGTGGCTCGGCTCGAGCCATGCCTATAAATATCCACAATGCAATTTTTCGCCGTCGTTGCAACTGACGGCACGCAATATAGCTGGCGATGTTGCCACGTTATAAAATACAAGTACACAATGTCTACGCGCAGACGAACGGTATGTGACCAATAATTGATAACGTCAATGTCAGACAACGACGGCACACGCGCGGCATCGGCTACGTAGGCTACCGTAGGCAGGTCACGGTAAATTACGATGGGCAGGTGCTAAATTTAAATTCTAAAGTTATGACAGATATGACGCCCATACCAACTATTATAACGCGCGTTCGTTATAATATACGAGTGCACGGCGTTAGACGAAGAGCGGCTAAAATGTGGTAACGCTACGTGCTGCTTGTTAACGAAGAGGTTTTGACGATATGCGATGAGCTTTTAGCTGTAAGTGCACACATTCGTAGCGCTTAGATTCGTTTACCGTTCCTGGCGAAGCCAAACGAAATTTGATCACGGGAGGTAATGGCCACCGCGCAGCAGGGCTGGCGAGACGTGCGTATAAGTGAAACTGCGACTCCGTTAGATGTTGACGATGCCGCGAAGGCCGCTTAGTTGATCTAACAAAGTTATGACGCGGTTTCTCAGTTCGAAAACAGCAACATTATGTCTAAGATTGTCAAGATAGCAGTGAGCTCATCTACTCATTACGATGGAGGTGGGAGGGAGGCGGAGAGGGTCCACATACACTGAGTAGAAGGAAGGAAGGAAGAAGGGGAGGGCGTCCACATACGCAGGAACGACGGGGACGGGCACCCCACACGTAGGAAAGAAGAGGATAGGGTCACCGTACGAATTCCGTTAATAGGTAAGAAGCGCGCGACTATCGCGGTGTTAGATGGGTTTCCCGTCTCTTCACGTCTGTAATACAAGTCTATTCGTTTGGCGAACTGAATTAACGTGGTGCCGGTCTACTACGGTGTACGGCTTCTGCAAGGTGGCGCGCGTTAGAACGTATCCCTAGAACGTATATTCCGGATCCCAACAAACGCATCGTCTTAAATATACACACGTGCACGCGCGTGGAACGGTTGGTTAATGTAGAATCGATTTATGTGCGAGACAAGAAGTAGGCTTATATATATATATATATATATGGATATCCACGACATAGAATGTTACATGAATCAGGCATAAATGAAAATCCATGAATCTTATACACCGAACTGCTATGCTATCCGAAGTTGTTGTCGCGATGGTTTTGATTCGACGACTGCATTCATTTGATATGAATCGTGTACACACACACACACACACACACACACACACACACACACACACACACACACGCACGCACACACCAGATGGCGCTAGGAGTGGGTCGCAGCAGTCGGGCAGCAGCAGGGGTTGCTTGCTTACAAAGATTCGCATAATATAAATAAGAGATGTGACGCGCGTGACAACGGTGACACGTACAGGGGTCGGCTGCTACGACATGCTAGCACGTACTACTGTCCTACTGCTAGTGTGTGTGTGTGTGTGACACGCGCGCGACAGGTGACGGGTCGCGACACCTAGCGTGTCGGTAACCAGTGGCGCCACCTCGCCTGTAAATTATAGGTGGCGACAACTAACACGTTAGCGACACGTAGCGGACAACGATGACAGGTGGCGACGCCTAGCGTGTCGGTGACGTGGCGACATGTAGCATGTCAACGACAGCCAGCCAGCCAGCCGCGCGCTGTCTAGCCGCATTCTATATACGCGCTATTATTTATACTTGGTATTGTAATTTTTGCAACGAACGAATGAGCTCGCGTGTTGTTTATACGAATTGAGGTACTTTTTTGTAAATACTGACGAATCTGGTTGATTTTGAATTTGTAAGGGGGTTTTAGCGTGCGCGCGCGCGCGGTAGCGCGGTGGGGAGCATTATCAATATGCAGGGAAAGACTGTGAGTTGTTTGTGTTTGACCGCTGCATTGTGGGACGTCCCGCCGGACGGCGCGCGTCGGTGCACCCGTACGGTGTGCGCTGCGCTCGCCCGGGAAGACGCGCGCGCCGTCTGGCGGACGGACTGCGAAGCGCGGGAGCCATGTTGCCAAAATGCAGTCGGTATTTTTGTTGTCACTGTGTGTGGCGCTCTAGTTGTGGCACACACACGCGTGCGCGTGCGCATGCCCGCTTCGTATATTTCACTCGATGATTCCCCCCCCTCCCCCCCCGTCGCCACGACGCCCGTGTGTCCAGAGGGCGCTGCCGGCGCGGGGGTGTGTGTAATAACTTTTGTGCTTATTTTTTTGGGTGATTTTTCTTTTTATTCATTTTTTTTCCCGCCGCCGTTCGCACTTTTCGGTCTCCGCATGCTTTCCTCTCCACCATCCTCCCCCATATTTCTCTTCTCTACTCACTTCGACCACAGTGGAGCTTTCGTACATGGATACGTATGCTGTATCTAACATTCGGACTCTGTTGATGGGTAGTGGGTCCGATTTTACAAAACGCAGGCGGCATAGTCTCATACGCATCGGGAGCAGTTATGCATATCGTAGAGTCTAAATCGGCGAAAACTTTTTCGCCTTTACGACATTTCGACTTCAAAGGTTGTCCGCCTGAAAAAAAAGTTTGCAACTGTCATAACTACATGCTAAGTTTTATTTTCAATCGATCCTCTCTGTAGTCAAGTTTCAGTGGTGACCGACTTGGAAACCACTGTCCGCTTATTTATGGTCGCAGCCTATCCATGCTGTATAGAGAGAGAGAGCGGTGTCACTGACTATCTCTCTCCTTATATTTATATACATATATCCGTCTGCTAAACCACCTTTATATAGTGTTCCCTCCAGGTGGCGCCAGTGCCGCGCGCGCGCATGACTGCGCATGCGCACTGAAACGCACCTCCGCATTTTATCTACTGACTATCTAAGGTAAATGCGCGCCTCCTGGCGACAGACCTGCTATCTCTTTCTCTCTCGACGCGATAAAACCCTCACACTCGGCTATACTACTAGTATTACTAATTGTGCGTACACGTACACGTACGTACCCACGTAAAAACACACGCGTATAAATATATATTACCCGGTGGGATAGGGTCCTTCCTGATTGCTTCTCGCCATACATTGATCCTGATCTGATCCTATGTTATGAATACCTATAATGCCCCCGCAGCACGTGTATGTAACACTACACGAGGTTGGCCTGCTGCTAGGAGCGGCGGCCATGACAGTTACGGTCGTGATGGGTCACGTACGTCACATTCGTGCTTCGTGTTCATGTTCGAACGCTGTACGTTATTGATTATAACACTTCTTCATGCTGAAGAGATGCCTCCTGATGGTTTCATATTCATCGTACTTGCACGCACGCCGCACGCACACACGCACGCACGCGCAGTAACACGAATAGGTAACGCACGCGTATACTCAAAAACACGCGTACCCACGCACACAGAAACAGATACGCAGACGTACGCGCACACTCACACGTACACGTACACACAGAAACAGGCAAGCACGCACGCTCGCACGTATGCACACGTGGATGCACGCAAACATACACATATAAAACACGCACGCACGCACGCGTACACGCATGCACGAAGTTACGTACACACAAACACGCACGCACGCGTACACGCACTCACGCATAGAGAGAGAGAGAGAGAGAGAGAGAGAGAGAGAGAGTCAGAGAAGGAGAGTAACTGAGTGAGTAAGTAAACGAGCGAGTAAGTGAGTGTGTGCCGTCATTCATTCATGATTCTCTTCGTCTCATTCGCAACCACGTTGTTTGCTTTTCCAGACAACAGATGGAGCTGAACGAGCTTATTCGCAAACACAAGAACGAGCGCAAGCAGTACAAGGTCTACCGCAAGCAGCTGCCGGCCGGCGAGGAGTCGGACGAATCCGACGATGCGCTCGAGGTGCAGCCCTCTACGCAGAAGCGCCCGAGCCTCGGCAACGTGACACTCAGCAGGTGGGTAGAGGGCGCTGACGCTCGCTCGGCGAGTTCATGACGATGATTATTTTATTATTAGTATTGTTATTATTATTATTATTATTAGTGTGCGTTATATTAATTATTATTTGAAATGTGAATAATTAATAATGATTTTTAACTTATCTGTACTTAATCATTCAACCATAATGTTTTGGTATTATTATTATTATAAATATTATATTATATTTTATATATATTATTATATATATAAGTGATGATCGTCGTATTCTAATTCCCTGCTTCTCTTGCGCAGTAACGAGAGTGGCGTCGCCATAACGACGCTGGACAACAACAACGTGTCGCCGCGCCGACGCAAGAGCGACAACGACGTCGCGGCGCTCCCTGCCGGCGGCGGCCTGCGCGCCCGCGACGACCAGGCACAATCAACGGACAAACGCAATGTGATAGAGACTGGCCCGCCAAACACGGGCAAATCCTAGCAGTAGGGGGCGCCGGCGGCGACGACGACGAAAGGCGAGTCTGTGATGTGGCGGCGGCGGCGGCGGCGATTGTTGTGATGACTGACTGTCCAGGGGGCGCAAGCGGGCGATCGGTGATATATAATTCTTAAAGGTGCTGCCATCTGCCGGGAGTTTTGGCGCGGCCCGGCGGGCGGGGGGGCGTGACGCGTAACGACGTCACGTACGGGAGTGATGACGACGATGACAAGGATTTCTGCGAACGTCTCACGAGGACGCGGACGCTGCACTAGCGGCGCCCTCTGGTGTTCTGACGCGCGTGAATTTCTTGAGGGGGCGCTAGTGATCGCTACGTTGCCATTCCCTCGCCACGAGCGGTGTGCTACATACCCTGTACGTGCCAGGAAGATGAAGAGGAGGAGGATGAGGAGGAGGAGGAGAAGAGAAGACTGTGAGAAGGAACATCAGACGAAGGCAAAGGAGGCGGAGAAGGAAGACCAGCGGAAGGAAGGAAGATTAGAAGGAGGAAAAGCAGAGAGCGTCGTGGGGAAGAATTGGAGAGAGAGAGCCCGCCCCTCCACGCAGCAGCGACATCGCGTCCAGAGAAACGTCCGTAACGCCTTTCACGTCCTCCTGCAGAACCCCAGTGAGCTCAATACCTCCCCCCCCCCCACTCAACACATAAATGGACTGTTCCAGCCCCTGCCCTTGTACGTGGGCACCCGCCGGGCAGGCCTTATGAAGAAATCGAAGAAATAAGAGACTTTCAATATGATCTTTGCCATTGATGTCAGTATTCAGTATTGTTTCTACGTGCGGGCAAGGCAAGCGTGGGGAAACTCTCCTCACAGCGGGACTGTTCTTTGACAGGATAAATTAAAGTAGTAGTTGGCGCACTAGACATCTCGCAATCTAAACTGCGTGAGCGCGAACGTTGCGCGTGCGCTAGAGAAGGTGTGAATTAATAGACAATAGTTGTGAGTACTGAAAGTGGAGAGCACGCAAGCAGGCAGAGAGCAAGCGCGATTGGAAGAGAGAGAGAGAGAGAGAGAAAGAGAGAGAGAGGCGAACATAAAAGGAGAAAGAGAGAGAAAGAGAGAGAGAGAGAGAGAGAGAGAGAGAGAGAGGCGAACGGCCACGAAACGCACACGGTCCAAGTGCAAACGAGCAAATGTGCTACACCACGGCACGCGCGCGCACACCACCAACACAACACACACACACAACGCGCGCGCGCAGCACACAACAGCCACACACACACACACAAACACACACACAACACACACCACAGCACACACACACACCACACCACACGCTACACACACGACACACAGAACACACACCACACCACACCAGCACAACACCAACACACCACACACAACACAAACCCCACACACCACACACACACACACACACACACACCACACACGCACACAAAACGCCCAAAACACAGCACACACACACACACATACACACACACACAAACGCGCGCGACGACACACACACACACACCACACACACACAACACACACACACAACACACACACAGGCCCCACACGCCTCACACAACACACAGCGCGCAAGCCACCTTGCACACACAGCACACACACACACAACACACGCGACACACACACATACACACAACACACGCGGCACGCACAGACCGCCCACACACACCGACACCCACACACACCACACACCACACACCACCACAACACGACGCAACAGCCGAGATGGCGCTAGGAGGTTGGTCGCAGCAGCGGGCAGCAGGCAGGGTTGCTTGCTTACAAAGATTCGCATAAATATAATAAGAGATGTGACGCGCGTCGACAACCGTGACACGTACAGGGGTCAGGCCTGCTACGGACATGTCTAGCACTACTTGACATGTCCTACTGCTAGGTTGTGTGTGTTGTGACCGCGGCAGCAGCAGGTGACGGTCGCGACACCATAGCGTGTCGGTAACCAGTGGCGCCACTCCGCCTGTAAATTATCGGTGGCACAACTAACAACGTTAGCGACACGGTAGCGGACGACGATTGACAGGTGGCGACATGTAGCATGTTCAACGACAGCCAGCCAAGCCGCCGCTGTCTAGCGGCATTCTATATACCGCTATTATTTATACTTGTATTGTAATTTTTGCAACGAACGAAATGAGCTCCAGTGTTGTTTATACGAATTGAGGTACTTTGTTGTAAATACTGACAATCTGGTTTGATTTGAATTCTGTAAGGGGTTTAGCGTCGCCGCGGGCGCGTGTACGCAGCGGTGGAGCATATCAACTAGTGCAGGCGAAAAGACTGTGAGTTGTTTGTAGTTTGGACCGCTGCATTGTGGGACGTCCCGCCGGAACGGCGCGCGTCGGTGCACCGCCGTAGCGTGTGCGCTGCGCTCGCCCCGGGAAGACGGCGCGGCCGCCTGGGACGGACTGGCGAAGCGCGGGAGCCATGTTGCCAGAAATGCAGTCGCGGTATTTTTTGTTTGCACTGGTGTGGTGGCGCCTAGTTGTGCACACACAAGTTCCGCGTGGCGCAGGTGGGCGCATAGCCCGCAGTTCGTATATTTCACTATTCGATGATTACCCCCCCAACCCTCCCGCCCCCCGTTGCCGGACGAAGCGCCCCGTGTTTCCAGAGGGCGCTGCCGAGGCGCGGGGGTGTGTGTAATAACTCGTTTGTGTGCTGTATTTTTTTGGGGTGACTTTGTTACTTTTTACTTCATGTTTTTGTTTTTTTTTTTTTGATCTTTTTTTCGCCGCCGCCGTTTCGCAGCTTTTCGGTTCTCCGCATGCTTCTCTGCACCATCCCTCCCCCATATTTCTCCTTCTCCTATACGATTCGACGCAACAGTGGACTTTCGTACATGGATACGTAGGCTGTATGCTGAGCATTCGACTCTGTTGATGGGTAGTTGGGTCCGATTGTACAAAACGCACAGGGGCATAGGTCTCAGTACGCGGTGCCACTGGCCACACTCGGGAGCAGGTTCATGCATATCGTAGAGTGGCAAATGCGGCGAAAACTTTTTCGCCTTTAACGACATTTCGACTTCAAAAGGTTTTTTTTGTCCGCCTGAAAGAAAAAGTTGCAACTGTCATACCTACATGTTAAGTTTTATTTTCAATTCGATCGCTCTCTGTAGTCAAGTTTCAGTGGTGACGCCGACTTGGAAACCACTGGTTCCGCTTATTTATGGTCGCAGCCTATCGCATGGCTGTATAGAGAGAGAGAGCGGTGTCACTGACTATCTCTCTCCTTATATTTATATACAATATATCCGTCTGGCTAAACCACCTTTATATAGTGTTTCCCTCCAAGGTGCGCCACGTGCGCGCCGCTAGCGCATGACTGCGCAATGCGCACTGAAACGCACCTCCGCATTTTATCTACTGACTATCTAGAGTAAATGCGCGCCTCCTGGCGACCAGACCTGCCTATCTCTTCTCTCTCACACGTAAGAGACGCCTCACACTGCGGCTATACTACTAGTATTACTAATTGGTTGCGTACACGTACACGTACGCCGTACGCCACGTAAAAACACACGCTATAATATATATGTACCCGAGTCGGAGATAGGGTCCTTCCTGAGTTGCTGCTCGCCATAGGCCATTGATCGGCCTGGATCTGAGATCCTATGTTATGAATCCTATAATGCTCCGAGCAGCCACTTGTATGTGACACTACACGGTAGGTTGGCCTGCTGCTAAGGAGCGGCTTTGCCATGACAGTTACGGTCGTGATGGGTCACCGTACTCACATTACGTCGCTTCGTGTTCATTGTTTCGAACGCTGTACTTATTGATTATAACACTTCTTTCAATGCTGAAGGAGATCCTCTGATGGTTTCATATTTCATCGTAACTTGCACGCACGGTGTAGTGGGTGTCGGCCCCGCACGCACAGAACCGCACGCACGCTGCAGATAACGACGAATAGGTAACGCACGCGATATACGACTGCCAAAAACATCGCGTACGCCACGCACAACAAGTGAAACAGAATACGCAACGTACGCGGCACACTCACCACGTACTACGTACACACAGAAACAGGCAAGCACCGCGACCTCGCCACGTATGCACACGTGATGGCGACGCAAAGCATACACATAATAAAACACGCACGGCAAGCACGCGTACACGCATGCACGAAGTTTACGTGACACAACAAACGACGCACGCACGCGTAACGCACTCACCGGCATCAGAAGTTACGTACACACAAAGCAACAACACACACACACCTGGACGGCCACACACACACACAGGACACACACACTGACACAACACACGACACAAGACCACACACACCACACACACAACACACACACACACACTTGAATACCTGGCGCGCGCGCGCGTATGCGACCACCTGCTTGGCTGTGTCATAGCAGCTGCCTGCTGACTGCTTGCTGCACGCGTG